AGCTGTTCGTTAGGCCCCTCCCAGCACTGGGCAGAACACCTGGATTCTTTGTAAAGTGCTGAAACTATTAAAAAACCCATTGTGGTAAAACAGAATTTCAAAAAAATGAGTAAACCAACCTCTTGTCTCTATGTATTCTATATACTTCCTATGTTTCTAAAGAATATTAAAGAGCCATAAGGAATATTTTTACAATAATGAACCTGAATTTCATTTCAACCTGAAAGGGTATTTCATATATATAAACATTTTTACTAAATATAAGAACCAAACCGCATCAGAAGAAGAAACTTCATAGCTGAATGTTTGGCTCAGTTCATTAATGGGATGACATGTACAAACAGGAAATCTCTATGTATTTTGTCCTGTATTTTGGAACATTGGTCTTGTATACGCACTTTGATCCTTTTCCTTTTTGCACTTTGACTTAAGATTGGCAGCAGCCTTGTGCAAGGAAACAATATGTCAGTGAAATCTTCTCCCTTTGGAGCAGGTAATTGTAATTTTAAATTCTGCTGAAGGCTGCTTTGTGTTTCCATCTTTGAGTCGTGGTAAGATTTTTATGTGCATATTTATAGAAGACAGAGTTCTATCTTTCTGAAGAAGCCTTTAGTGAAACGCGGCTTGTTATCAGCTAGCTTACTCATAAAGAATATCAGAGGAACCTACATTAGTTCATCTACCAGGCTCCAGTGAATCCTTGAATTCCTATAGGACTATTAAAACTGGGAGACTGCATTCCATCTTCTTGGAGTTTCTGGTATATGAATTGATAACGTTTAAATATATCTATGTCCTGTGGTATGTAAAATACACCTCGTTATATTTAATTTCATTATATTTGTACTACATTGGACCGTGTCCTCTTTATTACATCCTTATTACCAGGGCTATTTTTGGGCAGGAACGCACAGGAACGGAGTTCCGGCTGGCTCCCAAGTTGGCCACGCCCAGCAGGAACTCATTAGCATAATAGGCCACACCCAACAGCAGACACTCATTAGGATTGGCTACATTAGGGGGTGTGGCCTAACATGCAAAGGAGTTCTTGCTACAATAAAGCCCTGGGTTTTGACAACAAACAAGGTAAACAGAATAAGAAGCAAAAGGTGGGTGTGGCTGGATGAGCACACTTCTGGTAACATGGGGGTGTGGCCTAATATGCGAATGAGCTGCATGGTCAGGGGTGTGGCCTAATATGCTAATGAGTTCCTGCTGGGCTTTTTCTACAAAAAAGCCCTGCTTATTACATTTTGATACAATTGTTTAAGACTTACGGTTGTTTATGGCTGAGCACAGATTATTTCCTTGGTTTTGCATAATTCTTCTGTGCTGCTCCTTGGTTTTGTTTTTAACCTCCAGGTGGTGGCTGGAGATCTCCTTCAATTACAACGGATCTCCAGGTGACAGAAATCAGTTCACCTGGAGAAAATGGCTGCCTTGGAACGCGGACTCCCTCCCCTCTCCAAATCCCACCCTCCTCAGGCTCCATCCCCCAAATCTCCAGATATTTTCCAACCCGGAGCTGACAACCTTAAAGGAGTCAACAGAGGTCAAATTCGGGAGCATGAATACAGACAGAGGGTGTGCTGCTCCCAACCAGACAGAGGGTGTGCTGCTCCCAACCAAGTACGACTCTGTGCATATTTACTCAGAAGTAAGTCCCACTTTACTCAGTAGGGCTTACTCCCCAGTTCAAAACACATCTTTGAGAGCCCCCTCCCCCTGCATTGGAATTATTTGTAAGTAGCCTCTGTGATCCATCGCGTGGCTGCCACAAACGGCAATCTTTCATTTTTCTGAGTCATCAACACACCAGCTCATCTCAGAATTTCCCCCCCTTCTCCACACACCTCCATTGTGACCTTTCCTGCGCCTTCCACTGAGGCTTTGCAAATACTGCAGCCCCTTTCACTGCCCAGAGGCAGTGGGCAGGAAAGAGCAGGACACTACATATACCACAAAAAGCAGGTGGGTTTTCCGTTGGGGGTTATGGTGGAAAGATGACTAATGATGCAGATTGCTCAGAACAGAGAATCTGAGAAGTGTGGCCGAAGGAAAGTGTGGGCCACGCATGTAAGAGAGGGGGGAAAGACAGCTGAGAATGTGTGTGTGTGTGAGGTTTACAGAGGTTTATAAAATTCCAGTGTAGAGAAATTGGCTATATCTTTCTCCCTTTCTCACAACACTGGAACCTGGGTCCGCTCCCCATTAAATGGACCGATAGTAGCTTCAGGACCAGTGTTGTTAGGGAACATGTTATCATTGTGATTTTTAACTGTGGTGCTGACTATGTCTGGGGAACCAGTTCCTTAACATAAGAACATACAGCCCTGCTGTCTCAGATCAGCAGTCCATCTTGTCCGGCATCCTGTCTCACACCGTGGCTAACCAGCTGCTCTGGCTGAAGGGCGGGATGCAAATGTCGATGCATAAGACCCTCGGGCAGGGGTCCCATGCCTCAGACGCAGGTCCCCTTCACCCAAGGTACCGCTCCTCACCAATTAGACCTGGTTCATACATGCAGGGTGCTGGGGAATGCCAGCATCGGTATGCCAGTCCCCCTTCTGGTTGAGGCCACTACCCACGGCAGGGCCATAGCTTGAAAGGGGAGGGGGGTAAACGGGCACCTCCTGAAAGTCAGGGAGACATTATATTATAGTCATTTTGAATGCATATTATTCCTTTTGGATACTTAGTGCATGTAATATTTATTTTATTTAAAAGACTTAAAAATGATATTAAGTAAGCAATATGTAGATTTTTTTCATTTCTAGAAAAGTTATAAATTATAATTTATAAGTTATAAATCTATGTTATACATTTAAAATTATCGTATTAAATTGTTTAAAAATTGGTGTGCTTTTTAAAAAAAGGATATTGATATTTTGAGAAATTTTTGTGAGTTGAGCTGATATTCTACTTCTGATCTATATATATTAGAATTGGGTCCTCAGGAAATGGAAAATGTAAACGCTTTTGATGAATTATGCTTAATGACTTTTTGTTACAGCTTTCCCCCTTTTGCTTTCTGCACACCTTGATTATATCGTAAATAAAAATTATATGAAAGGGGAGGGGGTAGAGTCAGTCAGCTCTTCCGCCTTCCATTGGAAACCCCCCCCCCAGTGTAGCTTGGGTCCTGTAGTCCAGAGTCCTCCTTGGCCAGGATCCCTGCCATGTGGAAGTGGGCACAGCAGTTTGTGTGCAGGCCTTGCAGGGGCCCTCAGAAAGCATCAGGTGCTCCTTCCCCTGAATCCATGGCATTGCCCACTAGTTGGGGGCAGGTAAGTTTTCATCCCCTGACAGAGGGGCAGGGGTCATTTCCTGCAGGAGTGCACAGGAGCGGCGCTCCGGCAGTAAAGAGCCCAGGGGGCCGGGCACATGCAACAAGCCCCACCCCCTGCTCCCAGCAGCCCTCAGTCAGAGCAAGAAGCAGCCAGGTAAGTTGCAGAGCCCCCCCGGCCCCCCGGTCCAAAACAGTCCAGTGGCACCTTTAATACCAAGTTTTATTCAGGTACAAGCTCTCCCTCCTCTGCGAGGACAGATCTGCACGTTCCCCCCCCCCAATAGCTAGCAATCTAAAACAGTCCAGTGGAGCCTAAGCGGTCGGTGTTGCCTTCTGACACACTTCCGGTGATGTCAGGGGGTGTGGCATATGCAAATGAGTTATGCTAATGACTTATGCTAATGAGCTCCTGCACCTCTTTTTCTACAAAATGACCCCTGCAGAAGGGGTTTGTGCAATGAGACAGAATAGACCTGAGGTGCCAGGATGGACTGCACTGCTTCGGACGGCAGGCGGAGGGTCCCATTTTGGAATGCTAAAAGCTCCCTGCAAGCAGAAAACCCAGAAGGCAAAGAGAGGAAGGCAGCCATTAATAGCTTTCTCTTTATTTCCACTCACGTGGGATTTTATTACGGGAAAGAATATTTCAGAACAGGCATCCTCCTCCTCCTGCAGGCTGAAGTAGCGGAGTTTGATTGCCAGACCTCTGAATTCTACTACCTTAGTCTGTTGCCTGGGAGACCTTCAAGGCCTTGGTGCGTCATCTCCCGTATCCAGGGGTGGGTGGAGGACTGAAGAGCCCTTTGCCTTCACTCGTGCAAGCGAATCGATGGGCAGATCTTTCCGGCCCTTTAGCTGTACCTTCATCAAGATGATCCCTGCCACCCGGGGCTCTTGAGCATCATTGAGGGCAGAGCAGCGTGTGTGTGTTGGGGGGGGGGGCACTGGGATCTAGGGGCTAAACGAGACATGGCTGCAGTGACACAACAACTGTAGGAATGTCATTTTAAAAACTGGTGCGAACCCAGTTCAGCTCAGAACTGCGCCATGGAGGGAGGAGGGGCTCCTGCCTCCTCCTCATGCCATTTCCCCAAGGCAAAACCTCTTGGAGGGAGAGTCATTTCCCCAGGGGTTGTTTCATAGAAAAAGAGCTAGGGGAACTCATTAGCATAACTCATTAGCATATGCCACACCCCCTGACTTCACCGGAAGTGTGTCATAAGGCCACACCCCCTGACATCACCAGAAGTGTGTCATAAGGCCACACACCCCACCTCCAACGGTCCCGGCCGCCGGCGCCGGCCTTGCAGCTCCACTGCCGAGCCCCATGAGGGGCCCGGTGGTGGACCTGCAAGGCCGGCAGGAGTGCAAGGAAGCCCCGCAAAGGCCCTCCCTGGCCCTAGGCAGGCAGGGGTGGGGAATGAGGGCCGGAAGCGGGGTGGCCGGAAGCAGGGGGCAGGGCTTCGTCATGTGCCCCGCCCCTGTACCTCACCCGGGGGAACTGCGATCCCCCGCGATCCCCCCCGAAATGACCTCTGCATTTCCCCCCTTTTTGCAGCCATGTTTTTTGCAGCAAAAGACCTGGAGAAGGGAAGATGACGTCTACATTTGTTCCGTGCATCCCGGTTCAGAGAACGGCGGTTCCCCTCCCAGCTACAAATGAGGCAAGACTTCCGCAGCAGTTTTTACAAATTGCTACCAAACAGTCTTTATTCTCGGCTCTTACAGTTCTCTCCCCCCTCCCCGACCCTTTGTCGATTGCCTTGCAGTTCTGCCCACTGATCCCGAGCCTCAGTTGGCGAATATATCACCCATGGGCATCCAGACGCTTTTGCATTGTGTGGCTTGGTAGAGAAACTCTTCCCCCGCTCCTTCTTGCAGGTCGGACCAGCAACGCCGCCCTGCTCCGTAATTCACCCAGGTCCTCTTCAGGTTCCCAGAGGAGGCCCATTCCACAGCTGCGGAACCCTGCAGATGGAAAGCGGTGGGGTGGTGGGGGAAAATCAAAGCACACCATGAGAGATCTTTAGATCTGCCGAACACCTTCATTTATTCCTAGGCTGGTTTCTGTGGACCTGTCCTGCCTGAAAGAGCCTTGCAACGGCAATAGGCAGCTCTGGTACTGGGGGAAGCCTTCCTACAACAAGTGGAATGGATGGACTCTTAGGCTCTCACCGAAAGAAGTAGGAATAAACTTTACAGATTAAACAAACATATTTAGATTCTAGCTTTTTGTATTTTAAAAGTATCTAACAAAATATTATGAAATCTAAACGACATTTTTTTTTAAAAAAATTGAAAATAGACAAAATATAGCAAACTGGACAGCAAGATCCAGAGGAGCCGTTGTTAAGTCGAAGGGAAAGTGTGCCGTCAAGTCACAACCAACTTATGGTGACCCCGAGGCAAGAGACGTTCAGTGGAAGTCTGCCATGGCCTGCCTCTCCGTAGCAGTCCTGGACTTCCTTGGCGGTTTTCCATCCCAGTACTAACCAGGGCTGAACCTTGATTAGCTTCTGAGCTCTGATGAGATCGGGCTAGGCTGGGCTATTTAGGATGCTGAACCACTCAGATATCTGCCAAAGCTCCCTAGAACGTCTTAAAAAGGTAAAGGTAAAGGTTCCCTTGCTCGAATGCCAGTCGAATCCGACTCTAGGGTTGCAGTGCTCATCTCCGTTTCAAAGCCGAAGAGCTAGCGCTGTCCGAAGACGTTTCTGTGGTCATGTGGCCGGCATGACTAAACACCAAGGCGCACGGAACGCTGTTACCTTCCCACCGAAGTGGTACCTATTTATCTCTTTGCAGTTTCTTGCTTTCGAACTGCTAGGTTGGCAGGAGCTGGAACTACAGATGGGAGCTCACTCCGTCATGCAGCACACTCGGGTCTCGAACTGCTGAACTACTGACCTTCCGCAGTCTGCAGTTCAGCGTCTTAACCACTTGAGCCACCGCAGCTCCAATAATAACATCTTAAAGCCCTATAAATGGAGTAGAGTGAACCTCGCTGGATTGGAAAGTCCACTGTCTTGGTGCCACTGCTGAAAAGGCCCTGTCTTCTGCATATGTCCACCATACCTTATAAGACTGTAAAGGGAACACAGACTGAGAGCTCTGAGGAAGCTCGTAAAGTGCTGGTTCATAGTTAATTAATTTAAAGCAGTGGTTTCCAAGCTCTCGAACATCTAGGTACCCTTCTCACATTACAGTGGAACTCCTACATGTCTGCCATGGAACCTCTGTGAATTGCAGAGGATTCTGGAAGGGTTCTGGGGTGCCCCCCTTTTTGAAGCCTCTAACTTTTCTATGAAACAGATTTCTCACAGAAGAAGAAGAAGAGATTGGATTTATACCCCGCCCTTCACTTGGAGTCTCAGAGCGGCTTACAAACTCCTCTCCCTTCCCCTCCCCACAACAGACACCCTGTGAGGTGGGTGGGGCTGAGAGAACTCTGACACAAACTGCTCTTTTTCAAGGACAGCTGTGCCAGAGCTTGTGACTGACCCAAAGTCACATCAGCAGGTGCAAGTGGAGGAGTGGGGAATCAAACCCGGTTCTCCCAGATTAGAGTCCGCGCACTTAACCACTGCACCAAACTGGTGCAGAGAAGCATGTTTCCATTATGGACCATTACAAAAGCCAACTTCTGTTGTACTGTAAGAATGAGAAGTAAAAGAAAAAAAACAGGTTAGAAGAAGAAAAAGCAAGAGGAAGCCAGAAAGAGAAAGGAAAAAGAAAAGAGAGAGACCCAGGCAGGGTGGCAGAGATGAACAGTTAGAGACTTTAAAAAAATAGAGAGAGCAGGAAAGGCAAAGCCTTCTCAACCGTATTAATATTTTTGAGCTGGTCCAAAGCAGCATGGCCCGCCTAGCTCTCCAGCCACCTGCTCCAAGTGAGCATCAGTTTCAGAGTGTGGTATACCTGCCTCCCCAGGCAACATTTCCACGGCAGGCCATTTAAAGGATCTGTCAAACTGTACAAGCACAAAAAGAGGGGGCGAATTGTAAGTGGTCCTGCGCTTTGCAAGTAATTCTGTGCTCAACAATAAAGGGTACCTTAATGACCCCCAACCGTGTCCCTGGGAGATATGTACCTGTAACCAATGTTCTCTCTAAGGTGTGGAGTCCTGTGAGCAAAAATTCTACTTTGTGAGCTACTGGCATTAAAGTGGTGAGCAGGCGATTTGGTTTGCTCACAACTTAGTTTGCTCTGGAGCCTTCCTTCCTGAGCTAAGAAAAAAATGTGTGAGCCGGAGGCTTAAAAACTGTGAGCTAGCTCACACTAACTCAGCTTAGAGGGAACACTGCCTGTAACCCAGGGGTCATTTCGTAGAAAAAGAGCTAGGGGAACTCATTAGCATAACTCATTAGCATATGCCACACCCCCTGACATCACCGGAAGTGTGTCATAAGGCCACACCCCCCGCCCCCAACGGTCCCGGCCCTGGCTGAATGAGGGCCGGAAGCGGGGCGGCCGGAAGCGGGGCGGCCGGAAGCAAGGGCGGGGCTTCGTCATGTGCCCCGCCCCCATACCTCACCCGGGGGAACTGCGATCCCCCCCAAAATGACCTCTGCTGTAACCATCTTTTCCAGTGATGGAGAAGATTTCTTGCACAAGCATAAAAGTGGCCTCAAGCAGCAACAGGGAAGTTACAGGTACAACTTATTTACCAAGGTGTGACCAGGCCACGATGCCCAGAGCAGAGGCAGCTTCCAGGCAGGAGCAAAGCTGCTCAGTGTGGGTGATTGATGGGAAACACGGAAGTGATCTGGTGTTTGCACTGTGCGTAAATGAGTTCAGTCAGGGTAAAGTTCAACTGTCCTAAATATCCCCTATGATTTAAGGCTGATTCTTATCAGCTTGTTTTCCTTACACTGAATCAGTGCTGGAAAAATCACTGCTGTATGGCCAACAACAGGGCATAGAGGCCGAGGCCTTCCCCTGATATTGCCCCCTGGCTCTGGGATTCACAGGCTTAGCGCCTCTGAATGTGGAGGTTCCCCTCAGTCACCATGGCTAGTAGCCACTGATAGACTTATCCTCCACGAATCTATCTAATCCCCTTTAAAAGCTGTTTATTCCTGTGGCCATCACTACATCCTCCGGCAGCGAATCCCACATTTTAATCACTCTCTGTGTAAAGTAGTATTTCCTTTCGTCTGCCCTGAACCTACTGCCCATCAGCTTCGTCGGATGCCCTCGGGTTCTAGTAACTTGGGAGAGAGGGAAATAGTTCTCTTTGTCTACTTTCTCTCTCTCTTTTTTTATTTATAGTTTTATTAAATTTTTATAATTAATTGAAGTATAACTGCTAAAACGTAAGTATAGCTCAATGTATAACCAATAATATTAAAGATCATTTACATGCAGGATATGTTTTCATTTTTCGAAGATGATTTCGTTTTGTCTGCTATAACATATATGTTATACCTCTTTGAGAGTGTATATTATACTAGACCAAAATAAATAAATAAACCAATAAAACACAAAGGAACGGAAAGGCATGGAAGCTCCCAAGAATTTGATCAGGGTGCACAAACCAGTCCTTTCTCCCTTCCGATGAACTATTCCAGCCCAGAATGAACAGGAAATCTCTGCACAAATTTCTGGGCTTTCCTTGAGAAAGTATGAAAAAAGTTGGATCCATACTGAGGTAGTGCAGTAGCTGAGAAAAATGTAGCAGGTGTAGAATTCGGGAACCCAAGAATCTCGGCTTTCATTCGAAAACAACCCCTCCAAAGGCAACTTTCTTGTTTTTAAAGTTAGAAACATTTGCTTGAAGGTGCTTGAAGGTGCATAGGCAATTCCTACTAACATTCAGAAGTCAGGGGAGTTGCCTAATATCGTTTCCAGTGGCTAATCATTTCCAGTGCCTAATATCATTTCCATTAGTGCCCTTGCAACCTTTCCTGTGTCTAGCAAAAGTAGAATAAATTATGCAAAGCAAGATAAATCATGCCCATTTAATCAGTGTGCATAATTCATATTTTTCACACAACTTTTAGGTGTAGAATTTTAATTTTATTTTCTGTGCAGTACAGACAGCCCATGCCCTTTGCCTGATGGGGGAGGCATTATCTTTGCAGCTGGAAAGACTAGAAACTTGTGTCGTTCATTAAGAATAAAAACAAAGATACTATGGAAGCTGAACTGTCAATTCTGTGCTTTTCCGGGGCCACCTCAATTTCCCACTGCAACCATCAAGGAACACTCACCTCCTTGGAGCCAAAGTACCACACGGCTTGTACGTCTTGATGCTCCGCTAAACCCCGACTGAGATGGTCCTGGTTTCCAGAGATGATGTTCACCACTCCGCCAGGGACATCCGAGGTGTCAAGTACCTGATGCAGGTGACACGGGAAGAAAGATGGAAGCCATCAGTGGCCTAAATCAAAAACAGCTACACCTGGTTCTGGATATGAAGAACAATTTGATTAGAATACAAAAGATCTTGACGGCAGGGCTTCTCGGATTCCCAAGAAGGTGGTTCATTGCAATGGGGAAATCCTCCTCTTTGACGTTTTCGCACTTTGTTTGAAGTCAGCCACTCCTGCACCACAACAAAAAGAAAAGAAAAAAATCCTGCCCTCAAAGGAACCTACTATGTGTTGGTGTGAATCATTATTCTTGGGCATATAACTCTGATAATCTCTGCTTTGAGAATAACAAATGATCCAACAGGGCTCTTTTTCTTCTTCTTTTTTTTGGAAAAAGAGGTGCCGGAACTCTCAGGAGGGAAGTGAAGTTTTCAATCCGTGTACTGAAAGCTTGTGAACTTTTGAACATTTTAAAAAAGAATTTGGTTGAAGAGGTTCCGGAACTCCGTTCCAGCGCATTCCCCCAGAACAAAAGCCCTGAATTCCGATCAAAATTCGATGCAGAAAGATCACAGAATTATTCACTCCTCCAACGAGTCTGATTGGAAAGCAGTGCGGTCAAAACAGTAAATCATACAGAGTTGCAGTGGGCAGCCTCCAATGCGGGTACAGGCATGGGAACAATGATTCATTTATTTCTCTTGGCACAGCAGCCATTCTTTTGCAGCACCCTAACTGTGCTGCAGCACACAGTTTGAGAAAGACCCCCCTGGGGGGGGTGTCCCTGTAAGCTGGTTGCAACAACAGCACTATATTAATATTGATTTGACTATCCAATCTAATTCTAGTCTATATATAAACTCTACAAGGGGTGTGTGTGTGTGGGGGGTGCTGAAGTGAGGTCTGCAATTGTGTACACTGACTCTTGCAAAGACGGAAGCTGGAGAAGCCTCCGGGGCTCTAGCAATTGGCAGCCCCAAAAGTTCTCAGCAGCTTTTAACAGAAGTCATAAATGTCATCTGGAGCTTTTACATAACTATTTCTAATCTATTGACAGAGCTTTCCCACTTCCAGCTGTATGACACTTCTTCCATTGCAGCTGCTTGCAATTACAAAGTAAGGCCGGGAAGAGGTCCACCCTCGAAACTTGAGAATTCAACTGCCGTTAAAAATTGGAGCAACGTTTTAGCCCAGTGGCACCTTTACTCAAGGTATAAGCTTTTGTGTGCACACACACTTATCAGTGTGCACGCACACAGAAGCGTATACCTTGAATAAAGCTTGGTTGATCTCAAAGGTGACACGGGACTCAAACGTTGTTCTACTGCTTCAGTTCAACGCGGCTACTCATCTGGATCCAATTAGCCCTTCCTGGCAACTAACCCCCCCCACCTATATGTAATGCTTGAGGAAATCTGTTTCAATGTATCTGAAGAAGTGTACATCCACACATGCTAAGTCCAGAGGTCATTTCGGGGGGGATCGCAGTTCCCCTGGGTGAGCTGCAGGGGGCGGGGCACATGACGAAGCCCCGCCCCTTCTTCTGGCCGCCCCCTTCTTCCAGCCTCATTCTGTTGCAGAAGGAGGAAGAAGCAGGAGGGTAAGTTGGCGTCCTCTCCCTCTGCCTGGCCAAGGCCACTCCACGTGGCCGGCGCAAGGACTCCCAGCCCCATCCAGGAGCTTCCCCGAGGTAGCTGTGTTAATCTGTTGCTGTAAAATAGTCCAAGAGTTCAAATAGCACCTTTAAGACTAACAAATAGCACCTCTAAGACTAACCTTTAAGACTAAGACTGAGTGGTGGGTGTGGCCTTATGACACACTTCCGGTGATGGCAGGGGGTGTGGCCTTATGACACACTTCTGGTGATGTCAGGGGTGTGTGGCCTCATGATGACACACTTCCAGTGATGTCAGGGGGTGTGGCATATGCTAATGAGTTATGCTAATGAGTTCCCCTAGCTCTTTTTCTATGAAACGACCCCTGGCTAAGTCTCTCAGTCCTAGCTTATACCCGGAATTGAACTTCGTTGGTCTTGGAAGTGCCACTGGACTCCAACTTAGGTCTCATATCAGGTTGTTAACGCCTGTATTTGTTTGCTAATTTGCCGCCATTCACAGGTCTTACCAACGGCCTTAATCCAATCTCAGATATAATCGCCCAGTTACTTATGCACCTTGACTCTGACTAGCCCTTCCGGGCAACTAACCACCCCACCTGCTTTCTACCAGTACGCAAGGCTTAAGGAAATCTGTTTCAATGTATCTGAAGAAGTGTGTATGCACATGGAAGCTTATACCCAGAATTAAACTTTGTTGGTCTTAAAAGTGCCACCGGACTCAAACTTTGTTATATTGTTTCAGACCAACATGGCTATCTACCTGAGTCTATCTTCTGGGAATTGCAACCAATGTTCCCTCTAAGCTGTGGAGTCTTGTGAGCAAAAATTCTACTTCATGAGCTACTAGCATTAAAGTTGTGAGCGAGCGATTTGGCTACTGCATAAATCAGTTAGCTCTGGAGCTGTTCTTCCTGAGCTAAGACAAAAATGCATGAGCCGGAGGCTAAGAAACTGTGAGCTAGCTCACACTAACTCAGCTTAGAGGGAACACTGGTTGCAACATGGATATTTGAAGTCAGGGTTCTGGGAATTACAGTTACCAGGATGTGCTTGGGAGAAGTACAAGAAGGAATAATGAAGGTGAGCTGGGGGTCGCAGTGGTGGAATAGACGACACCACTGCCTGCATACAAAGCATATGCTGTATCGCAGACATGAGGCCTGTCAGAACCCTGATAGAGCTTGCAGGGGTGGGGGACAGGGCAGGGGTACCCTGGGTGGGGTGACGGGAATACGGGCAGATGTAGTTTTTGGGAATATAAAGCTCGCTAATAGTTGTGAATGAGGCTTAAAGGGATTAGCAAGAGTCCCTGTTGAAATGGCAGGTGTTGGCGGAGGGATCTGAGGGGCAAGAGTTAGCACCATGGACAGGTCCCACAATCCTTCTTCTGTGAGGAAGTCTCCCCCCTCCCTGGCAGTCTTTAAGCAGCGGCTGGACAAACACTGGTCAGGGATGCTCTAGGCCAGTGGTGGCGAACCTATGGCACGGGTGCCAGAGGTGGCACTCAGAGCCCTCTCTGTGGGCACGCGTGCCATCGCCCCAGCCAGGCCCAGACCATCATTAAAGTGTCAAATTCTCTGCCAAATAATTTTAAGTCAATGAAAGCATTTGGGATTGCTTTCCTTACTTTGTTTGGATCATCTTAAGTTAATGTATGAGTTGTTTTTTCTAAAGTAAAACCTCAGTATTCAGGTTAAATTGCCGTGTTGGCACTTTGAGATAAATAAGTGGGTTTTGGGTCGCAGTTTGGGCACTCAGTCTCTAAAAGGTTCGCCATCACTGCTCTAGGCTGATCCTGCATTGAGCAGGGGGGCTGGACTAGATGGCCTGTCTGGCCCCTTCCAACTCTGTGGTTCTATGATTCTATAGGTCTGGATGGACCCTGTGGAGAAGAGATTATTTAAACTGTACCAGTTGAATTGTTGTGGCTCTCTGGCAGCCGTAGTCTGATGAGGGTACTGCCAGAAACTTCCGGGCTGCTTCACCAAACTACAATTCCAGAGATCCCTGGGAAGAGGGAAATTATTTAGTCCGTCCTGAGAGCCACATGGAAAGCCAGTCGCTAAGCCTGGCCCAATTTCAACGTGACCCAAGCTGCTGCAGTGCTTCATGCCGGTAATGTCCAAAAGGCAGGTTTTGAGGAGGGATTTGGAGGAAGGCAGGATCGCATGCATATTCTGGGGGAGGAAACCATGTCAAAAAAGGAGCTTGTCTCTCTTGAGGAAAAGATTCCTTGACAGCTTGGTTGCCACAGATGTGGCAATTCAGCAGCAATTCAGACTTGTGCATATGGATCACACAACCGGCTGAAGGCACATCCTTTTTCATTTGTGGGCCTTTCCCAAAGTACAAAAGGTGTTGGAGTTTATTTAGTGCATTTCTATCCTGCTCATCCTCCATGGAGCTTGGGGGAGGCAAACGTGGTTCTCCCCCCCTCCATTTGACTGTCACAGCAACCCCGGGAGGGACGTTCGGCTGAGGGAACTGACAGGCCTAAGGCCACCCACTGAGCTTCTATGGCAAGTGGCAGTTTGAAGAAGTACTTCTTCAGCCAAAGAGTGATTAACACATGGAATTCACTGCCACAGAGCTGGTGGTGGCTACAAGCATAGACGGCTTCAAGAGGGAATTGGATAAACATATGGAGCAGAGGTCCATCAGTGGCTATTAGCCACAAGGTATAGATAGGGGCTCTCAGTCTGGGGCAAGTTATGTTCTGTATTCTTGGTACGGGGAGGGGGCAGCAGTGGGAGGGCTTCTCGTGTCCTGGCCCCACTGCTGGACCTCCTGATGGCACCTGGTATTTTTGGCCACTGTGTGACAGAGTGTTGGACTAGATGGGCCATGGGCCTGATCCAACATTGGCTTCTCTTATGTTCTTATGAGTCCAGCACTCTAACTGCTGTGTGACACTGGCTTTTATCATGGAAGAGGCTGTTGGCCGAGTTCTCCATTGGCAGAGATTCCGTGAAGGATAAGGCTGGGACTCGGGGTCTGCCCAAAGTCACTCAAATGAGTTTGTGGCAGAAGTGCGATCTCAGTTGCGGACTGTCCAAATCACTGCCCACACTCTTCACCCATGGTGCACTATCTTCCAAACACCCAAAGCATGCCCCCCCCCCACACAAACATAAAGGGGAAAGCAGCCTCCCCTCCTCGACCTCATATTCACGGAAGCATATTGTCTCCCCATGCTGGTCAACTGCTACACAAAACTGTCATTTCTGCTATCAATAAAAACGAGAGGAATCTGCCCGGTTTAGCCAGATGCGTGCTTCCGGATTCTACAAAAGTCATGAGAAAATGAAGTAAAAAAAAAAAAAATCTCCTGGCATCCATTTCCCTCAAAAGCAACTGACTTCTAAGAAGTTAATTTTCCCATAAAACCTCAGGTGTCCAATTTCGG